CTTCCTCGTATTTCCGTCGGATCACGCGCGCGAGAGCCGCATTCGTGGCCATTAGCTTCTTTTTTCCCATTTCTCAACTACATCACCAGACTCACAGCCATTTATTCTACTTTAGCGAAAATCACAGCGATTTGAGTTTACTGATTTTTTAGCCGTTACTGCCTCTGTTCTTTCGTATGACTGTGTATGTTCTCATATGGATGACCATGAGTGTTTCTTACCGACTCCTAGCTCGATTATTTTTTCTTACAGGCCATTTGCAGGAGGAAATGGTGTTTATTGACCTTTGAGGAAAATAGCACTTCCTCTCACTTTCACGGAGAAAACGAATGATGATACAGAAATCTTGCTTAAGAAGTGCCTTTTATTGCACAAACAACAAATTACGATGCTAGTTTGTCAGGTTGACAAAAGAAGAATAATGGCGCTACTACTATGCTAGGCAGTGCTACGGAAAATTGGCAACTGCTCGTGGAAAAGATGGTGCTTCAGGGGAGACGCACGGCGGCGTGTGTATTCTTTCGAGTGACCAGTGTTCTACAACATTGTCATTAACCATCCATAAAATGGTGCAGAGAAGGAAGTAGTAGTGAAATATTAAAGCACCTGGAGTCGCTGCTGTGCTGACTTCACGTCATTTCTGTCATAACCACCTTTCTCAAGTATATCTGCATGATTTTTCTCAGCGTAGCGAACTAATCGAGTCGTGTGATCGGTTCGAGGGTGACCAGCCACACATGTAAATCTTTGTTATAGCATCGTTTTGTTGCCACCAGGCTTCCGCAAGGGCCATATGCAACCGTTACATATGGCATTGAATGGTTAGATGATCATGCTAACGTTCACGCTACGACCATGATTTCATGTACTGGAGATTGGGGGGGGGGCTGTTCATCGTTTAGTGCCGAATTCGAATAGTACATAACGAGCCTAGCTAATTCTTTGACCAGTCATGAAGTTTTGCGGTACCCCAGCTAACGAGCACAGTAGACCCTCGCTCTTTCCCATGCTAGAGTCGCACGATTAGAGTAGAAGCTAAGTTTATCCGATGACGACGACGAGTAGAGGGTAGCATAGGGCCTACGACATAGGGTCTGCTTCTAACTCCGGAAGTGTCGGGTTCGACTCTGCTCGAGGAAAATCTGTCTTATTCAGGAATTCCCTTGAGCAAGAAATTTTCCATACACTGCTTCAGACCGAAGTTGCTCAGTCGGTAGAGTATCAGTGCCAGAGTCGAGAAGTACAGGGTTCGAGCCCCGGTGAAAGTCACTCGTCTTCTTTCTTTATAAATGAGGACTACTTTTTTGTGAAGGATGCAGGGGATTGCGCACCACGCGTATTGATTCTGCATTCAAAAGTATGACATTCATAGTTGATGGAATAAAAATT